TATATGTTTACAGAGGGAAAAACGCATGTCACAGTAGTGTATCCTACTTGAACTCCCATTTTTTTTTCGGGATTCATTTACAGTTCCCTTTGTTGCCCCTGAAGTCGTCTGTGGTTGGATATTGCCATTTCTCAGGGCTGTTGCGTCTTTCCCAACGCGCGCACGGTGATTTGCTGTCGTCAAGCACTTCCTCACATCCCCATTGAGCTAGGGAAACCGTAGTAAAATTTGACTGCTGTGGGATGCTCTGTTTTTGCCAACTTTTCACATTGAAAAGCTCATTAGCAAATCTCTCTTCCGCTCTGTAATCTCAGCTTCCCATTCCTCCTGCTACATCTAACGAAAGTGTAACTCTGAGGAAATCTCCGAGGCTGATGCAACTCCGAATGAGTCAACAATATGTCAGTACAATTGAAATGCCAACATTTCTGCAGCTGCCCAGCGTGTTAGAGCAACAAGCTGAAAATAAAGCACATTTTCTCTTGTCACTACCACGCAGCAAAGCACTGGAGACGTTCTCAGACTCTGAGAACGTTATTTCTGGGTGGGTTCTGGGCAACCAGGCCAGCTCAAAGGCGCCCCAGAGGTACGTGCTCGAGGATTGCAAGACGAGAGCTTCCTCCAGTGCAAACCTGTCTACCAAACACAAACGTTAGCAGTGGCTAGTTTTGTTTCAAGTTCCAATGGAAAAGGTAATTAAAGGAGATGCTCCGTAATAATGCTTTGAACATCAGTAGTTTTTCATCCAGGAACCTGAGAGCTAGCACAGTGTTGCAAGGGCTTATTAAGAGTCAAAGAAGATAAGACCAAAGGGAACTGTTGTGATCTTCTTGTCTGACCTCTTGCATGAAACAAGCCGTAGTAGTTTCTTGAATTAATTTCTATCTGAATGAGGACGCATCCTTTCGAAAGGCATCCAGTCTTCACTGGGGTGAGAGGGAGTCAGTGATAGAGAAGACACTGTAACCTTTGATTTAAGTGGATAATTACACTCTCCAAATGTATGCCTAACTGTTAGTCAAAGCCTGTCCAGCTTCAACTTTCCCCAGGCTTTGGATTTTTTTTAATAAATTCATTAGTGAAGATTTTTTTCATCAGTTTTGTGCTGTGTTATGTGCTTGCGGATTGATTTAGTAACCTCCTAGCCTGCTCTTTGCTAAGCTAATAAGACCGAGCTCATGACTTCTTGCTGTTTTGCTATAAGTCACGCCTTCCAGCCTTTTAATAACTCTCATGCTTCTTCTTGCCTCCTCTTTCTCTGTTTATGAGTGCCAGGTTTCATCCACCATTCCAGGTGTGAGGGCAAAGGCAGAGGCACACTCTAAACTTCACCCCTTTCAAATTTAGCCATTTTTCATAAATTAATTTCCATTGCCACAGCGGGAATCTCTCTGCTGCTGATTATCGTCAGTGTTCCCAAATGTTCGGGAGTTGCTGCTTCCTCCGGTAGTCCCATACGTTTGGCCTTCATTCTTTCGTCCTAGGTGTAGAAATCTAACTCTGTGACGCTGAAATTCTCACAGTAGTTTGATTCCAGCGTGCCAAAAAATTTATATTGTTCTGTTAATGGTCTATTCCCTCTATTATTTACCGATCTCCCCGCTTCTTCCCCAAAATAGAGACAGGAGCAAGTCTGGTCCATTCAGTTGAGAAAGGGTTGCTGCAGCCACTCGTATGTGTGCTTTCCTTCTCTGATTAAGCTTCTTCAGTAACTATTGTTTTAAAAACTAAGATGGACCAAAGTTGGGCTGAAAATTAGAAGATCTGTAACCAGCAAACGAGAAAGAAAGGTTCTGGAATAGGCTTCCATTTGGAGTATAGAGGACAAAAGGAAAAATATAATCAAGATTTCTGTGACTTTGCATAATCCAATATTGGTGAATTCCTTGTTTCTAGTTGCATGCTAAGGATCTTTTCACTAGCCTGCTGTGGTTTTTTTTTTTTTTTAGTGGATGCTGTGTGTGCTTCTGTTCTTTTGGCTTTTCTCTCAGATCCTTTGTGGAAACTTTCTCTATTTATTTAAAAGTAAATTTGTCATCTCAAAAATACCTATTAGCTAAGATCTGTTTTCTGTAAATCCATGTTAATGGACATGAATTGTGTTATTCTTCTTTAATTCTTTTTTAATAAAGTCCTCTATCATCTCTTCTGTTATTCTGTCTCTGATCGATGCTAGATTGAGAGGCCAGTAATTACTGGGCCTAGGTCACCTCATACAATTTGGGTACCATGTTAAGTTTTCATTTCATTTCATCTTTTGGTTCTCCCAAAGATCTGAAGGCATACTGAAAATCAACATAAATGGTGCAGAGAGCGTTTTGGACAGGTTTAAAAAATTGCATCGATATTTTTTATATAGCTCTGGAGATGTTGGTAGCTGCTCTTCAATAACTTCCCGAGTTCCTGTTGGAACGCGTCAAAGTTGCAGTCTTCAGCTGTGACTTTGTGGTGGTTGCATATGAGAAACACGTTAAACTAGAGTTTTGTGAATTATGCTGTCTTCCAAATTTTGTCACAGTTCAGATGGTTGTTTTGGACATAAATGACTTGGGACCTGCTTACCTGAAATATTTTTTTTTTCTCGAGGTTCCATTGTTACTGAGATCAGCAGAGGTACCTGAGGTGGAATCGTCTCAAAAGAGTTAATGACAGAATAGTAATGTTTTAGGAAGAGATCTTCGATTTTGAAACTGTCTCGTTTTTTCTAGTGGAGCAAGCAATTCACACCACATCCGTTTTAATGGCGAGTATGTGAGGATGTGGAATATCTTTTAATTGACGGAATGAAGCTTATTCAGAGCTCAGGCCTCCTATCTAAAAACCTCAGAGGAGGCAGAATAATGAATGAATTGAGCTGTCACCCTGTGGCTAGGCATGTTTTATTGTCCCTGTTTCATTCATAGGTCAAACTTGAGTATGATAAGACAAAGTGACTTGGACAGCTTCTCATGGGACTCGGCCAAAAAATGAAGACCGAGATCTGGAGAGTCTCAGCAAGTGCAAGCAGCAGTCAGACGTGTAAGCAAAATTTGCTCCTGCCCCACTGTGGTTCAGAGAAGCCGTGTACTGCAAGCTGTTACTGGGTCAACATGGTAGTCAGACTGCACATGCTGATGTGACCTTTTGAAATTTGAGAATGTAGTTAGGGCTCCAAATCCATAAATACTGCCTTTTTAATACAACATTTTGTCTTAATTTTCCTTTCCAAAGAGCAGTTGGGTAAAGAGTGCTTTGTTCTCTTGCTTTATATACAGCTTGCTATGCTTGACATTGATGTAAATATACTATATGGATGGCAGAATTCAACCACTGAACAGAAAGTCAAAAGTCCTTGTTATAGATGAATCGGATGTTGCAAACTTTGCAGTCACTCATAAATCTTGCCGTACGTGCATGTGATTAATGTCTAACAAGGTTTTTGATTGATGGCTGAGCAACCTCTGCTAAAGTGTTACAGGACCAAATCATGAAATCCCTTACATCGTTGTTAAGGAAAGCTCCTATTTGTTTTGGTAGGCAGAAAAATGCCTAGTTTTTCTTTTAAGTGAATTTTAAAGTTCTAGCTTGCTGTGGCTTTTAATAAGTACATGACCAGGCCACGACTTCTACTAGTGAAACGTGATGCTTATTAAAACCACGTAGGAGGACTGAGAGCAGAGCAACTGGATATCTTGGGCCATGTTGGCACACAGACTAAGCTGAGGTCAGTGAAGTTGGGTGGAAGGCCACGCGTTACACAAACTAATGCGACACTGAAACTTCACGGTATTTTTTCAGGCACGTAGCTGGCAAGAATTTAAGACCTTGCTACATGTTAATAGTATCGCTTAAAAATTATAAGGGTTCGAATCTTCCTGCTGCAGTTGTAAGCCAAATTGCCCTGTGCGTTGAAGGTCTCTCCCTTCGTAAGTTCTCTTCCGCTTGGCGGTATATTGTCATGGGTCACCCCTGCTTGTACTTAATGACTTTGTTCTGAAGAAGTGGCGTAAGTGGTGAATACAGGACAGTGGAGCAGAAAGAGCGTTGAACTGGTCTGGTGCAGTTTCTACAAGATGAAATGCGAATATGAGAATACACAGTTGGTAAATCACTGTTAAAAATTAGCGCGACGATTGTTTTTCCTCTTAACAATAAGGTGCATTTAAAAAGCTTGCGGTCAGGTACAGTTTTAATTGAAGTGTTTTAGGAGTTGAAATCAAGTTGTCTTGTGTTTGTGTTTCTTCCAAGCTGTCCAGAATTGTTTCTAATTAGGGGCTTGATAGAGTTTGCCTAGATACGTTTTCCTGTGTAGTTTGTTTAACATAGACAGCATAGTACGGATATATTCTTTTCATTACAGACAGCACTCTTTGACTGGGTTTGACTAGCTCATTATTAATGAGTTGGACACAATACTAGTAGCCTCCAAGTAGGCAGAGTTTTCTGAGAATAACTAATGAATTTCAGAACGTGTTAACAGAAGTTATTTTTGAAGGGTTTTCTTTACATCTTGAGAGACGATGAAATTAAAAGCGAATGACTTGGAATCTATCTCTGCATTGCAAAGTTGTTTAAAAAGCACCAGTTTTACCAACTCAACTTAGAAATATTGGTAACCTGCGAATTTTTAAGAACAGTATTACGTGATCTGTAGTCTGTGAAGGCTGGCCAAGTACCCATTATCTTGCTGCTGCTACTGATGACGGGCTGGGACCAGCTTTGGGAGGAGTGGGGAGTCCTTGCAAGGTGCTGTCAGTGTCAGCAGTGTTTTGTGGCAGACTGAATTGGTTAAATAACGCGACAAGTGCTTTTAGCACTTTGGTGACCCATAGGCCACTAGGCTCTCATTTCTGAAAACGAAGCTTGGGTTTCTGTGCTAATTACAAATCTTGGAGATTTTTATTAGTTTTCTATATAGATTTCTCTACAGTAGCCTTATAGAGTACATGAAGATCCTTGACTTTTGCATTACGCTACAATGCTGTTTTATTTCAAATGCTGCCTTCCCCTTCCGTTTGCAGATGCTGCTGACAGAGTACCTGGATATGAAGAACACGCGCACCGCCTCGGAGCCGTCGACCCAGCTGAGCTACGCCAGCTCCGGGAGAGAATTTGCAGCCTTCTTTGCAAAGAAGAAACCGCAAAGGCCTAAAAACCCTTTGTTCAAGTAAGTGCGGGGATGGTCTTAAAACCGTCCTTAAGCTGTCTCTGGAACCAGGGGTGTTGCACAGCGCTAGCTGCTAATAGCAGCCTTACAGTGTTTGCGTGTTGTAAGCCTTCGGATGGAGTTGTAGTGCCCAGAGCTGAAGCCTCAGTAAGATCTCTTGTAAGGATTCGTCCTTGTTCTGTAGCGTTTAGTGCTCTTGGTGGCTCCGCTCAGGACTGAAATCCCCTTATACTAGCTCCTGCAAAGCAGGATATGCAGTGATACACTACTTGGATCTTTGTCCAAGTTAAAATCAAGACCTGTTAAAGAGAACAATAAAGAGGACTGGACAAAGAGAATTAAGATAACTGTATAATTGCCAGATAGACTAAGCTGTTAATCCTATCACTAGTTTCTTTAATTTGGAGTGCTAATGGAGTTCAAAGTGGAAGGAATTAAGTGACTGGGAGGAGGGCGTAAGGGAAGGGATGAGAGGCTAGGTGGGCAAGGGAGAGATTCGGAGGAGGTAAGCTGATGTGCAAGAATGAGAAGTGAGGAGTCATCGTTAGTGAGCGGCACTGTTAGGAGAGGAGAGATGGCCTTGTTATTTGGGCACTATACTTAGATTCAGGGAAGCTGTGCTGAATTTTCATCTCTTCTGTTGATTCCCTGTGCTGGTGATTCTCTTTGGCCTCTTAAGGGTTTCGGGGAGTACCTACGTGTGCTATTTTGGCAGCAGGCCCCCAAGTTGAAAGATCACAGCTTCCTCAGATCTGCCAGCAGAACTGCATGTATGCTTGCTCCGTGATGCAATCTGGACAAAATAGTCTTTTTAATGCCTTTTTTTTTTTTTCGGTGAGGTTGATCAGGGAACAAGCACATTTGCGGTTTTAAGAGATTCGAGGGAAGAGCAGCAAGTGGAGCAGTGTTCGGGAGGTCAGGAGTGCCAAGGAGCTTGGGGCGGTAACCTTTTAACTGTGTTTGGCTGCAGCTGGACCAGCGTATCTGATGGGTCCTCAGCACCACGCCAGACTAAGCTGCTGCAGGCCTAGACTGTCTTTCACTACAGGTTTGTTCTGTGCATAGCCTTATGAGGCTTTACCCTCAGTTACGGAGAGAATCCAAGTTTAAAAAATAGCGAATGCTTGCTGGATAGGGTGACTGGAGGGCTATGGAAGTGAGAGGCTGTGTTTCCCCCTTTAGTTTACTGGAGATGAGGATCTTTGAAGTCTGAGTGGCCTTTTTAATATGCAAGCCCTCATGTATTATTTGCGGGATCTTTATATGGTAGGAAGAAAATGCAGGAGCCTCGGTAAGGGGAAAGGCTGGGAGTAACTGGCTGTTTTGGGCACGTGGAAGGGCAGCTTTGCACCCTGCAACCTCTTTACCGATCACTTGTGGGTTTCTCCAGCTACAACTTATTTCTTAATTATCCAAAACTTGCCAGTGGCCTCCTGATTCTTTGCCCCATTGACATGGGTATGTAGCGGCTGTATTTTCATAATACCTCAAGGCCCCAATTAGAGATTAAAGCCTCCTGCGCTTCCCTCTCTCGCTCTCGCTGGATTAGCTGTCTATATAATCTTCTGTTACTAGAAGGTTAAGTGTTAGATAGAGGATTCCTGAGGTGTCTCCTGACCCCCAGCCAACCCGTGATTATTCCCCCCACCCCTTTTTTTTAACACTCCCATCACTGTATGGGTTGAGAATTACGCTCTTGGAATTTGCTCTGACTTGCAGATGCACGTTGGAGGAGAACGGAGCTGCTCACCTTTTGTTATTGTGTCTGTTGTTTGGTGTGTTTGGGCCATTTACGATTGAGGAATAAGGATGTTCTGTTTCACCTACAGCAATTTAAGCCTGTATATTAGTTTGTCAGCGGAGAACGAAGATGGGTATAATTGTTTAAAGTAAAGGTGCCTAACCTCATAGGAAAAAGCGTGTCTTGCCACTCCATGTCTCGTCACTGAGTCATTGCCAGCACCTCCATGACAGCAGCACTTATTGGGATCTCTCATTCGGTTATCTGTCTTCTGTCAGCTGTCACTGTATCTATGGAAATCTCTGTTGAAATGGAATTTCTCAGTCCACTGAAGGACGTGCATGTTTGATGGAGTGTTATTCTTGTCTCCTCTCCCATCTTCAGTGCTTTTCTCGCCAGGCTGCAAGGCTCTTTTTCTTGCCTTTCCATTAGCTACGTCCAAATCGGAGGCGCCACGCACTTGTCATCAGAATATCTGCATTTAGACACCTCGCTTCAGAGGTCTCTTAGGGCAGGGCTCCACCTTGTGTTTTACTCACAGATTGATAAAAGGTGTTTGTCCTGCGATAACTTGTTATAAGCTAATTTTATAAATACCGAGTACTGGTGCTAGTTGTGTGCTTACATGGAAGTATGTGATCTAGCCACGGTGGGAAGAACCAGGGCTCCTGAAATGTGTCCTGCTGTCCAGAAATCAGTAGCGAGCATTTGGAAGAGACTTTGAATCTTTAAAATGGGTATAATGCTCAAAAAAAAAAAAAAAGTCATGATCTGCTTAAGTGTATCATGCTGGCTTTAATAAAAAGGGGGGGAGGCAAGGGAGGGGGACAAAAAGACTTCAGATGAGGGTTTTCTTGTGAATTCACATAGTTTCTCATAATAAACCTGACTGTTGTCTACTCCAAAAGGTAGCCAAGTGTATGTTTAGGTTGCCATCTCCCTACAGATCAAATTTGCAAGGCAGAAATCAGGCACGCGTGGGAAAGGAGTGGATTGTACGAGCAGATGTTGAACACCCAACGCATTAGTCTCCGTCTTGGTGACAGTTGTGTGTAATTACATGTTAAAAATAATTTGAAGGTTTTCTTGTTGGAGGATCAGCTTGGGGAAAGGAAGGGATGACAGAAGCAGAGGAGTTAAGTGGTAAAGGAGTTGTTACAAGAACAGATTAAGGAAGTGATAGAGGAGGGGAAGATAGAGGAGTGAAATGGATGGTCGTGGGAAAGAGATGGATGTGATGAGATCTAGCATCAAATGCCCGTGCAGTGAATCCGAGGAATAATTTGAATCACTGTACCAAAATAAAGTTGGTGGCAGTAGGAGGAGACTGAAGTTGTTTGCTATATTTTGCCTTGACCTGAAGTTTCTGGTTTTGATGCCTGGAGAAGATCTCTGGGCCGTGGTGATAATGTTACATTTAACATCTTGCTGCGGGCAAAAGGGAGCACCTCATAAATACAGAGCCAAGAATTTATTGTTAGCTTAATTAAAGTCTTAACTGTGTGTTGTGTTTTGATAGATTGTTATTAGTCCAGTTGCAATAACGCTAACACTCATAGTCCAAATTACTACAGAAAAGGCTCATTAATAATAATACCCTTTGGGGGGGAAAAAAAAAAGCTTGCTAATGTCTCTTTCCTTTTCTCTGGTGTGATGCTCACCCTGCCAGTGTCCCTCTGAGTGGGTGCTAAGGCTGAAACAATTCAGTCCTTAGCAGAAGGGTGAGGCAAAAGAGGCTACGGCAAATCATCACCACCCTGAGGTCCTCACCAGGAGGAGTGTGATGTCCAAGATGGAGTTTCTTCCCCAGTCATGGGTCCCCCTGGGGCTGCTTTTACCCCCTTCTCTCTCTACCCCTGCTCCCTTCTGCCCATCCCTCTCTCCAGCAGGAGAGTTGCCCAGCGCCCAGCCCGGGTCACACAAGGGCTGTTGTTTGCCAGGCAGGGACGGCCCAGGGGCAGCCCGTGGCCCTGCAGGTGCTCCCGGCGCTGAGCTGAGGCCAGGCGGGCAGGAGGCCCTTGGCCACCAGACCCTGGTGATCACAGCAACAACCAGCTCTGGCCACGGCCAGCCCAGAGCAGCTGGAGACCCTGTGGTGGCGGCTTAGCACAAAGTCCATGGCCTTCTATTAGCAAGGGCCAAAATCATATCTATTAGGTTACAGAGATGGAAAATACCTGTCTCTTCTCAGATTATTGCTTGTGGCAGATTGGAGCCACAGAATAAATAATCAGTATTTTATCACTCCGTAGTTTCCAGGAGAATATTAATTTTTAATCAGCGGCTGCATTTATATGCCAGCTAACGGTTTAGAAAGTGTTAGTTTATGGCTTTATTTCGGATCTTACCGGGCTTGAGCCATTGCTGCTAAAGCGACTGTGTGCTCCTGGCCGATGGCATGGAGGAGCGTGGCCAGACCTCGTGGGCTGGCACGTGCTGTTGGCAGTCGCTAGCAGAGCTGCCGTGGTCAGAGGTGGCAGAGTGGGGAGCATCAGCGATGGAGTTTTATAGGAAGAACGGGCTTTTGTCTGCCTCACCGTTTTGCTCTGAAATGGCTCCAGCATGCAGGGAAGCGCTGTTTGTTTAGAGCTGACTGGTGCTTACAGGAAAGACACTTTTACAGATGGCTCACTGACTGGAAACTTGCTGTTTTAATTACAGGTTTGAGTCCTCCTCCCATGCTATTAGCATGAGTGCCTATTTGCGGGAGCAGAGAAGGGAGCTCTACAGCAGAAGCGGAGAACTTCAAGGTGGGGGAAGAGAAAGTGTGTGCGTCTGGATAATTCTCTTTTGCAGGAGCTGCGTGTGCTGTCCGTACCGTGTCGAGGTATAAACACCTCTCTCAGTTGACACACAGACTGTCTGAATCGGAACAGGTTGTAACCTCTATTTATTTATTCTTATTATATTGTGAAACAACTGGGTTTCTTTTTATTCCCTCTGAACTTAGAGCTAAAGATCCAGGTCTTAAAAGACACTCATAAAATAGTGGGTTAAAGGAAAGCAGTCTCACCTTAAACATTGCTTTTGGGTACTTGGAAGTAATGTCTGCTTCCTTATCTGCAATTTATTTCCACCCACATATGCTGAATGCGGTACTTCTGCTGGATTTCTTTGGGAACTAAGCTCAAGTCATCTCATCTGAAGGCATAAGTTTCTATTGTATGGATTAAGTGAACAACTTTTTTGTACAACACTAAAAGGTGAAGAGTTACAATGTTTGAAAATGGTGAATTTGAAGGGTTGGGCTACTCTTAATAGTTTGTATTGCTCGTGAGAAGTGCTTTTTGCTGTATTTACACAGAGAAGTGTTCTCTCCTCTGATTGCTGCATCGTCTCTCTTTTTTTTTTTTCCCGCGTGGCCTAATGCACAAATGTGTGGGTTTTGGGAGCAACATCACGGGAGGATCTTAAGACTTTCATGATAACGTATGGCAGGAATAGTTCTTTTCTATGTAATCCTTTTGTTTCTTACCAGGCCTATCATAACAAGGAAAAAAATATGTCTTCTTCCAATACTATAGGGATGAGCAAGGGTAGCGCTTTTCTTTGAAACCTTACTCATAATAATTCTGTGCTAGTTTTTAATTGAGGATGTTTAAAATTTTCCAAGTGAATTATTGGATGACTTTGTGTCCCCTGCCACCCTTCTTAGTTGTCCTCAGCAAGAATTAAACCCACAGCAGTGTTGCAAGAAACAGTGAGAGAGATACAGTGTTCTTGTGGATGCTTGCTTGCCTTAGGGAACTGTACAAAGGTGATCTTAGTATCAGTGATCAAGGATATAGGGATACGCTCTATGGGAAATGTTCGGATACTTCTGGATGGCACTGTGAAGGAAGAATCTGTGATAAAAGGACAGGTACTGAAGCTGATAGGTTCTCATGCTATGATCTGAGAGCCTATAGGATTAAAATGGAAGATATTTGTCGTGTCCCCATTTAAGCGCACATTTAAGCGCGCTGGGAGGGTGTTTATCATGCGGTTCTTCACTTGTGAGAATGAGGTGCTCACCTTCAAAAATCTGTCACGTGTACTTATGACAGAGCACCAAAATCAAGGCACGTGCGTGGCTCTGTGCACCACCGTCGAGCAGCAGGATAAATGAAGCACTTGCCTGCTAGAGAGAGCCGAGGCATTAGGCTCTAAATTGATGGAGAAGTTGGAAGGATTTGCTGTTTTTTTTCGTGGCGGAGGGGAATTGTACAGTTATATTTTTAAGAAGTTTTTCACGTTTCGTTTTAGAATATATAAGTAATAGCATTTATTGGAAGAAGTTACCCAGTTCAGTAGGATGTTGTGTCGTGTAAGGTACTGTACAGCACAGTCGTTTGCTTATACCAGTGGACTGTAGGAGTTGAGTAGTCGCTTCTTCACAGCCGTTAGCTCTGTTCCACAAACCACGTGGAGTAACTGGATCCAACCCCAAAAACTGAGAAGCTCTTGAAGGGCATTTAGGAGTTTAGCCTAATGAAGGGGCCACTGGGCAGCCTGTTATACCTGCCTCAGAAAATGCAGGCGTGTTTGGGATGAATCCCGTTGCCTTCTGTTGACTGTAGCTGCCTCCACACCTGGATTTGGCCGGTTGTCTTTGCCGCTTTAGATGGCACACGGCCGAGAACAGCGTTAAGTCACTCCGCGTGTACGTCCTCTCCCAGATACGTGGCGGTTCGAGGACGTGTTTTCGGACGGCTCTCTTCCTTTCCCCGCGTGCAGACGGGCGCAGCCGGATCTCACGGAGGAGCGGCTCCGTACCGATGCAAGACGAGCCCCGAGCCAACATCGGTGGCGGGCGGGAGGCTGCGAGCGTTTTGAAGAGCGGGTCGAAGCGAGCCGCGCCGGCCGCCCGGGGGTTAGACAGAACAAAGCTTGAGGACTGACAAAGGAGGAGAGGACAAGGCAGAGGAATCAGCGTGCCGAGGGACAAGATTATATCGCCTTTTACGGGTGAATTGGAAGAGCTTGAACGTGACGCAAGAGGTGACAAAAAGTCAACGTAGGGAGTCGGCGGGGACAATAGATGAGATGACTCTGCGAAGAAATCTTTGCCGTTTAACCATCAAGAAAAGTTTCCCTTTGAACTTTATGTTAAAAACGCGCTACCGTCTCTTTCTGTTATAAGCGGCTGCTCCCTTTTAGGTAGCTCATTAATCTTCCTGAATCCCAGGCCACAGCAAGATCTGCATTTTGATTTTATTTTTTTTTTCTTAACCCCTTTTAAAGAAAAATACGATTTAACTGTTCAATCAGCTTAGTGCAAGGCAGGCGCGTGACACGCTCGCTCTTCTGTGACCGCGGCGCCGGTTTCGCTTCCTGACGGCCTTATCCACAGGGATGTTTTTTCAGAGGCAGCAGGAGGAGGGTGGCTTATTAGGGAATCTTCCCCTGCAAAGATCTTCAAAGAAACGTATGCATTTATCAAAAAAAAAAAAAAAAAAAAACTTCTACAAGTTTGGCTCATGCCAACTTTTTGAAATAAGAATTTAATTTAAATAGCCTTAAAAACGTCTGAAGAGCACAGCGATGCTTTGTCATTAACCTCTTTCGCTTGGACTGCGATAGTGCGTCAGGCTCACGTTATCCCTCCGTGGGGGCACAGGGACCTGCTGCAAGCGATTTAGAGATGGAAGGATTAGTTCTTGAGTCTTTACTTCACTGAGATCGGAGGAGGAAGACGGCGGCCTTGTGTTTTTCCCTTTGAGCTGGACGCACAAGTCGTTTGGCAGTTGTCATTAAAAAGAAAAGGAAAAAATAAAAGAGCAAGTACATAACTGCAATATCTCCTTCTGAACTAACACAGATGCGGCGCCCCAGGATGTTGTCAGAAGTGCAATGTCGGAGGTGGCATCTTCTGTACAAAACAAAAAATGATTTGCCAGTGAACTTTTCATTTATTCTCTTTTCAGGAGCCCGGCTTGGCCGCGTTCTAGCTGGGGAATTTACACATTCTTTCTTAAGAGCCCTCCTGCCATTTCTTGGATATGGTATTCTCGATATCCTGTCTTAAATAATAGGGTGATGTTTTTGAAACAAGTAAGTTTATGGCACGAGCAGTGCAATGACTGAAGCCTAGTTGACCTTTAACGCTTCTCCTGCATTAGCCCCACTTGTCAGCGTGTCTCTTCACCAGCTTCGCCCCCTTGCTTCCTTCTTTCCAGCACCCCTCAGCACCTGTCTGCATCCCTGGAAACCCCACTGAAAACCCACAGCGTGTGCTGGATCAAGCTAAGCGTGCCCTGACCAAGCAGCCCCAGCTTTCCCTTCCAGGAGGCCCGCCTTTGCCGCGCATTTGTCTGCGTGGCTGTCTGTTTTCACGAAACAGCCAGTCGGACGGATCAAAGATCAGATAGCTCTTATTTTCTTAAGAAACTAGGCTGAAATGTTGCCTCTTACTGTAGAGGCAGTCGCTTGCCACTGACTGGTGGGACGATTCCCATGCGTGCTCTAACTCATTCCGCTATTGCTTTCCATCACCAAAAAATTCTTGAGAATGAAAGAAAAGTGTAGTTTCTTGCTGTTTACAGGGTTTGCAAGAGGGATGCTAGATGGTAGGAGGATGGCACTGGGCCAGTACAGTAAGGCAGAAGATATTCTGCAGGTACCTTGGGTTCATTTCATTAAACTGGATGTGACTGGTCTCTGGAAGACTGTACTGTGTCTTTCTCTTCATTTTGACTCGTAACTTTTCTGTACTTCTGTGAATTTCTGAAGTTGTATTCTGGTAATGCTTAAAAGTGCCAACCCAGATTTTGATTTCGTTGGACTGAACGTAGTACTTGATTCATGATGACAGTGCATGATACGTGCATTGGACATACCTGAAAATGGTTAGTTTTCATGCGATCTGGCTGCCTTCATGAACACAGCTGTGTTGCAGAAATGTCTTATAGCCTATCGTCCAGGAGTTTACATACTTAAATTTTGTGACTCTACGGCTAGGGAGAAGAGGAGGTGGCAGGAGATTCTGGAGAATATGTCAATCATTTAAAAAAAAAAGTCCATGCAAGCTAATAACACAAAACAAAAAGAAGCCGTGAAGAAGCCATATCTGCAAATGTAAAGCTCAGTGGATGATGGTCTTTATTTCAGAAGGAACCTAATCTGAACTAATCTAATCTGTCTTACTAGGATATAGTTGTGTGTGTGCAGGATTCGGAGCAGCCGGGGCAGGAGACCTTGGTGGACACAAGCTGTCTCGCCAGCAGTCACGCACCACGCTGCTTCTTGGTGACTGATAATTTCCAGCACGGTTTTATTTCATCAGCAGTGCTGCCGGTTATGGGCTCCTTCATCAGGTGTTGCTTCAGAGTCCTGTGGCCGTAGGGAATTAATGTAGCTCCCTATCGTGTTCGCAGTAACCGTGGCCCTGGTTCGGTTTATCAGCAGAAAGGGTAGAAGATGGGTTTTCATATATTATAAAAATCTGAAGAGCCTTGAGGGTACTGATAGCATGGAAAATAGCATCCAGCTTCTCTGTTATCTCTGCAAGCGCAGGCCCCCGTAGTTCATATCAAGGTCAACTTTGCTAGCGTTGTACATCGGGGCCGTTTTTAAGAATGAAGTGTTAAGAGCTCCCGAGTAGCTGCTGTTCCCACGGATGCTCATGCAATCCACAGCTGCTCAGCACCTCTTAAAATTTGGGCTTGTTATTTCTTTCACCCTGGAAGCTCGGTGCACTTCAACGTTAATTAAACTTCTCGGTGCCTTCGTGAAGGAGGATTTTAGTTGGATTGTAGCTGTGCAAGCTGAG